TCTGAGATGCTTTCTTAGGTGACACAGCAGTTAAATGAACAAGTTGCATTGACCTAAGGTCAGGTATGAAGGTCGCACCACGGTCAGAGCCAACCTGTCTTGTTACTCTAGGGCTTGCTGTATGGTATAGTTTCTGGTGCTCATTTCGAGTTTATTGATAGCAGGAACCACATTACACATCTTCCATGGACGTCTTAGAGGTCAGAATAGGTCATTGACCTAAAATGACCCAGGTCAACACTTTGTTTTAGGAACATGCTTCCTAGCGTAATCTTGGTCGCTTAGTTAAATGCAAAACTCAAAGCAATCTTGTACGATTTTGGTCACATTGACCTTCAAAAGGTCAAGAAAGGTCACTGACCTTGAATGAGAATGTGACTTTTTGCTTGGAAACGGTTATCTAGGTTCTGGGGGCACTTTGGAGACCAACCTGGAACTTGAGCTTGTTTGACCTTTTTGACCTGAAGGTCATGAGCTAGGAACCTGAAACTTTGACCTGAGTGAGTTCACGTACCGATCAACACACCTTGCAGATTTGGTGTCTCTAGCTTTCTTGGTTCCCGAGATCACAACGGGGTCAGATTGACTCCCTCCTCCACCCCAACCGAGCGAAGAGTATCTAGCCGGCCACCCGTGTGAGTTTTAACTTTGGGACGTCTAAAAATATAGGCTATGTGGATCTGAAATTTACTGTGAGATTTTGGTGCCCCTTCGGCCCAAGGAGGGCCATGGCCCCATCCCCGTTCTGGATCAGTCACAGCACAGCGTATCTTTAAAATACGGTGGCAAGCCTGTCCAGGTCATGCGTAGCACATCTAATCACGCAGCAACTGCCCAGAAATGATTCTGGCACTATCTTGATATGATTTTATTTTTGATTGATAATTAGACTATAGGAAAAGCTAACTACCCAAGCAAAGCTGCGTATGGTAAATGGATGCCATAGAACACATGATTCGCACAAAGGTATGTTACATGCGAATGCTATCCAGGATCATATCATTGATTTACTGTGCCATCAATTGTTTTATGTAAAGGCGTAAACGGCATCTGTCAAGATTCTGTAATGTGTTGCGAACACGTCGCTCACGTCTTTTACGAATTTATGTGTTGCATAACTGGATAAGTGCATTTGTAAGGAACATTATCAACATGGTAAGACAGTAGTAAAAGCCTTATTCCTCGGAGAAAAACAAGATGATAGAGATATAGGTGCGTTGATATCTCGGTAACATGACTTTATCAAAACGAGCAGCAAAGGCCCTTTTGCTATTCTATGGATGGTGTGAAAAGCTCTTCTGCTATTTGTTTCGATTATGGCATGCTGCCGAAACATCAACGCATCTTTGTCTCCATTCTCCTGTTTTTTTTTTCTCCGAGGATTGGTGTGTTTTCAGATATAACATTCTTTGCATGCTTACTTTCATGAATTCGGCAGTACCTAATGCTCGCATGCTTCGTGAAAAACGTGTGTTGTGGTGGCGAGGGTTATCCGCGTTCAACAGGATACCATGCCACCCAAAGGTGTTGCAACTATGTGCACACGCGCACGAGCCGGAGATGGAACTCCATGAAAGTCACTGAAGGGAGCACATTAGGATTCAAACACATTCCTGTTGCACAGCGTTCAGCAGCAGCAATACCACATGTACAAGTTTACAGCATGAATGGTGCGGGGTATGGAAGAGTATCGAGACAATCCAGAGATCTATATGCAAAGTCTCCCAAGGTAAAGACGCGAGAACAGGACGGATGCACCTACAATGAGCGCGGTCTACAAATTATGCAATTGCGTTAACGCTATATGTTTTCGGAACAACAATTGCGCCATGTTTGCCTTTATTGTGCTCACATTTGAACGCGTCTATTTGCTGTCACAAAATTGGGCCGATGACTTGAACTTTGCCGCGCATATAGTCGCACCAGTGCGGCGGTGGAATTTCTAAAGTTCAAATGCTAGGAATGCATTGTTTGTTGTGGATTCACCCGACGTAACACCGTAAGCCGGCATCCAGCGCTCTGAGATGTTGGGGTCGCATCTGCATCCTTAGTCAACATTTAAGCTTCACCCTTAAGTCAAACAACCGGACGATGAAGTACATGGCTGGATGTAGCACAATGGATGTAACACAACTTATGTGTGACAAAATACCATCAACATTCTTTAACGCATCATGTCTACGGAGTGACTAACTTGAGCAGGGGAGAGGGGAGGGGACCCCGAACGGGGCCGTGCACACCTCGGTTGGCAACAATACGACGGTTGTGGAGTACCGGGTGCGGCGTCACTGGTGACCCTTCCTTCTTCACAACGCAGAAATGTTGTTCGGGATGTATCGCAAACAAAAATGAAACTGCTATTGTTGTATTGTGCACTTCAGTACGTTATGCTAGGGGACTGTTGGCCTGGTGTTTTATTTTCTAGTTTGACAAACGCGAGGTAATTCGCAAGTGATGCCACGACTGTTTTCGTGTGGTTTCATTTGCTTTTCTTTTTGAAACGAATTAGCCGATTTTGTCCGTTCACTTCTGGATAATGAGTTTGTTCGGTTATCATGCGATGTCGCTGATATGCGGAATGATAGCGCCCGGTAAACTGCCGTCAATCTGTATTGTTCGTCGCTGCACTGGGAACACGTACGAGCGCAACCAACCTCTCATGTGTATGTGGTAAATGATCGTACAGTCGATTCAAAACTTAAGATTTGCCTCAGCTAAACCGCAGTAAGCGTGGTTTACATGCGTAATTCATCAGCTTTCATGCACAACTAATCGGTTTGGGAGCGGCGATCTGAACCACGTACAGCGAGGCGTGCACACATTTGGCTGCATCATATTACAAAGAATATTGGCACTGGCATCTACCGTGTTACTGCCTTGAGCAGCCAGAATAAACAGGCGTGAAAAAAGAACTAAAGAACACGACTCAGTATTCATTTCCCATGCGCGACCCAGCCGCCCGCCCGTGTTTTGCCACAGATGCTGACCCCTGCTATGGAGATGACACCCCAGAAGAAAAAGTACGACATGCACAATAAGACGGAAGACAACCGGACCAAGCAGGCGGGGGCTCAAGATGGCTGCTCCTTTTGAAAACCATCAAATACGCAGCACTTCCTGAATATTTGCATACAACAATGGGGGCTGTTCATCAAATCTCGACGGCATATTAATCAAGACATCGACGAGCACCGGTTCACCGCCTTCGATAGTCATCAGCACAGCCGCATACGTCCGCGGCCGCATGACCATCGACGTAACACCGTGCCACGGTCTGCCTCACATCATCACACACTCTGCGCGCGAATCCCCCCCCCCCCCTCCCCCAAGCACACACATCATCGAAAACCGCAGCCTAAATCACAGACCATGCCTCTAGCGGCGCCCTTCTCAGCCGCGCACTTGACCCCCTGGCGGGGCGCGCGGCGTTCACACGTTGAGCGCGGCGACGCCCAGGCGGCGCCACCGGTCGCGCGTGACGGCGCGCCGCTGGAAGGCGTCCGCGCCGGCCAGCACGCAGGCGCCCAGGTAAGCCGCGTGCTGCCGGTATGGCGAGGCGTGCACCTGCCGGCAGAGCATGGCCCGCGTTCACAACAGAGCCAGCTCCTGCTCGTCAGCTCGTGGGGGATCTCAGGCCAGTCATCGGTTGTCCTGAGTGCGTAGGCTGTAGATACAGATTTAAATTCGATTCTGCATTCCTTTTCGGAACAGCTTGATATCAACTGCGGCATGTATTGAGGCTTGTGCAAGGGAGGATTACAGTTTGCATGGAATAAGTCATCACAAACCATCGATCCAGTCACACCGTACGGTAAACCACTCGGTAGGGGGGATAACACCAAACACTTATTGAGTTCCAAGCTAACAGAGCAAAGCGGACCTCTGTACTGCTCGAGAGCTCGAGAGTACGAGCGTCGTGCTGTTCTCGACTAGAGCCCCAGCTCTTCCCCTCGGCGCGCCCTGACCCACTGGCGGACACTGACCCTGGGCGTGACGGAGGGCGGACTGAGGGCGTCCAGCTCGGCCTGCAGCCGCTCGGCCAGGCCCGGCAGCAGCGTCGCCCCGCCGGCCAGGTACACCGACCGCATCAGCTGACGACGACTGTCCACGCTGCACGCCTGTCACGCACGCACGGATCGGTCAGCAGGCGACGGTGTGGCAGACCGTGCTGGACGCCGACCTCGCTAGAACGCGTTGCTGAAGGCCGGCACATTTCAGCGCCCCCGGTGAGGCGGCTGGTGCTGTGTGGCTGTCAGCACGTGTCAGCGCCCCCGGTTAGGCGGCTGGTGCTGTGTGACTGTCAGGTGACGGAGACTCTTCCAGCCACTTCAAAGCACTCTTCCACAGCCACTCTTCCAGCCACCAGAACGAGCCATTCATGGCGCGTTCAAACGCATCTACCGACTGGCGCGGATTGCCAATATGCAGTACATCTGAAACGCTCAATAACTGAGACAAATGCAGGACTAACGCTATTGTGGTGTATCAACATTTCATACCTGCACCGCTTTCTGGACTAGTTTGTGGAGTCCTTTGTGGTCGAGTCCCCAGATCTCCGGATTAAATAACCCTTCCGGGACTTGAAACCGCCCGCAGTCGAGTCCGATTTGTCTGAGACAAGAACATCAAATCGCTTCATTAATGGGAAGGCTTACACAGTTGACACAGCTCACACAATCCAGAAGGAACACAGTTCAGACCGGGATTTTTGGCCGTAACACCAGCCAACTAAACAACGGAGGGGGGGGGGAGACATGATCATCAGACATCACCAAAAATGGTGGTAGTGCACACACACCACTACAGGTGGCAGGTGATGACGACGCATTTTGAAGACGAATGTAGCACCTCAATCCCTCTCCTTTATGACGCTGGTCGGGCACCGCACCCACCAGCGCCGCTCCATCAGCTCCGCCTTCCTGCGGCATACAGCTGCAAGCCGGACCACAACGCCGGCACATCGCACCCCAACACAGCCGGTCGCGCCGTCCGGTGACCGCTCACCGCCAGGGGGCGCTGTCGCCGAGCAGCTCGTGCACCGGCACGGCGCGCTCCAGACTGGCCGGGTCGGCGTGCCAGCGGCGCAGGTCCTCCTCGTAGCGCTCCGAGACGAAGCAGAGCCGCTGCAGCAGGTGGCGTAGCAGCAGCGTCTCGACCTCGCTGACCAGCGGCACGCGCCGCTGCAGCAGGAAGAGGCGCAGGTGGTCCAGCAGGCGCCCGCCGCCGTACGGTAGCCGCGTCGCTCCGCCGCCCACCACCGCACCTGTCGGGGTGAGAGCGTACGGGTTAGGCTGGTGAAGCTCCGCTCCGCCATACGGGACGCTGACAGGAGTTTCCCGGGAGCAGGCAGAGGCTACGGCCCAACACTACAGGTGGTGTTAACTCATTTGGCCGTGTTAGGTCTGTACAAACTGGCCAGAAGTTTACCTTGATGTGCGGCAAACAGCGGGCCTTGAAAAGTAATAAATAAGCACAACTATAATACTACGCACAGCCGGGAGCAAGGCAACTTAAAACCAGACGCACAAATGAAAAATGCAGTCGCGCTACGCATTTCAACAGCAGACCACGGAATGACACCAATGATGGGCGGCAATGATGCTTCTCCGACAACCAGTCCGCTGCATCTTGGGACCCGCTGCCGGTCCGCCCTCACCGCTGCATCTTGGGACCCGCTGCCGGTCCGTTCTCACCGTCGACGATCGGCACCACGTCCATCCTGTCGCCGATGTCGACGACCACCCCGCTGGTGGCGTTGTACGCCGCCTGCGCCAGCACGCTCTGCTCCTGCACGCTGACCGCGCGCGCGCCGAACTCGTCGAACAGCAGCCCCAGGATCTGGCCGCGCGCCGCCGCGTCCAGGGCGGCCGGCAGGCTCAGCTGGACGCCGTAGTCGGTGGGGCTGACGCGTAGCTTGCGAAACGTCAGCCGCAGCAGCGCGGTCAGCGCCGGCACGTCCAGGTGGCGGCACGCCGCGCCGGCCGCCGCCCGCAGCGGCCACGAGAGCACGCCGGCGGCGCGCGCCGCCGGCTGCAGCGCCGCGGCGCCGCACGCCAGCTGACGGCCGTCCCGTGACGTCACCACGGCGGCCGGGAAGAAGAGCTGCGGCAGCGCGGCTGCGCAGGAGAGAAAAGATCAGGCACGATGCAGAACCGGAAGAGATACGCTCATACGGGAACGAAAGCGGGGCACAAGTACAAGGTGTAGGCAAAACGGCTTGCCTGAGAGCGAGAAAGGGTCGGAGGGGGTGCGGTGGGCTGGGTGTGGGGTGGGGGTGGCAGGGGGGGGGGGGGGGGGGGTGCGAACAGCGGGAAAGAGATACATTTGTGGGACTTGCCTCAGTTGGCAGCTAGAAGTCAGTGTTGTTGGCTCACAGTTATCGATAACTAGCCTGACAATAGTTTAAACGAAAAAAGCATGTCAGAGCAGGGTCCAAATGACTTGGACCCTGGCCGCCCAGTCCCGCTGGACGTGATGCCGTTGAAAGGCGACCCAGTAAAGAGCGGCTATCAGAGCCTCCGCACCGCCGTCGTCGGCGACTCACGCTCGCTGAGCAGCAGGCCCGCCCTGATAGCAGTGCCGCCAGGTCGAGGACTCACGCTCGCTGAGCAGCAGGCCCGCCCTGATAGCAGTGCCGCCAGGTCGAGGACTCACGCTCGCTGAGCAGCACGCCCGCCCTGATAGCAGTGCCGCCCAGGTCGAGGACGAGGCGACGGCGGGCGGCGCTCGGTACCGCCGGCACGGCCGCCGGCTGGACGTAGGTGGCGCTGCAGTCGCCGGCCGTCTGAGAGCGCAGCGCACGCAGCCAGCAGTCGGCCTCCTCTCCGCTGGTGCAGCGCACCACCACGTACCGGCCCATCTGACGGCGCAGGAGCGCACACAACCGGCCTCAGTCGGGCGGGCAGAGCGACGGAGTGTGGAGGCTAGCCTAATCTCATGATAGAGTGCCGATGGCTAACAAGAGTAACGACATAGTGGTAAAGAAAGGATGCGAGCCTGATGCGGTGGTTCGGTTATATCTCCATGCGAAGCGGTTGTAGCAGACATAAGGCATCGGGTCGCGGAAGACCTTTAATTCTGGAAACTTGGGGCTTTTTGCAACCCTGTGTAACCAAAGCGTAAGCGTTGGTTGAACAGCATTCCGCCAAACAGAATTCGCAGGAACCTTATTCAGCGATGTTGCAGCCTTTGCTGCAAAATGAGCGCGTAATGCCGTAAAAGTAAGACATCAGGTCGGAATGCTCAAGTCAGGACGGAAACCATCAGATTCTCGCATGTGGTTGCAGCGCCCGAGCGGACTTACCCCGTCATCAAGGCTCAGGATCGGCCCCGTCTGTGGCACCTGGAGCAAGGACAGTGCGTCATCCAGAGCCTGGCGAGGCGCAGCGGCGCAGCGAGCACCGCCGGATCGTTTGAAATGCAGAAGGTCGTGAAATGACGGCTGAATCGTTGAAATGATTACATGCAACAATGGGTCACGTTGAAGAAGTGTTGTCAGACCCTTATCTTTGAATGTGATGTACATCTCACACCGTGAAACATCACAGCATATTGAAGGGCGGGAGCAAGACTGCGTCCGCCCCGTAAACCAAGCTGACGTACCCGGCTGTCGACTCCGATAATGGAGCAGTCCATGACCTCTACGTGACCTCCCATCAGCTGCAGCACCAGGCTCGGCTGGTCCGTAGTATTGTTCTGTGGAAACACCGAGGGAGCCGACAGCGTTCAGCTCCATCACCAGGATCAACTTACTCTCGTACAAAACGGGTACAAGCGGAGAACTGGTGCTGTGCAGATACAGTTTACCGTTGACAAAGAACATAGTTTCACTACCACAAACGACATTTCCGGAGCTGACAGAAGGAAATAGCATTGATTTAATCCACTCACAGAAAGCGAACACGTTTAACCATCGCTCTGTACAGAATGACAAAGCGTCTGACAATATGAGAAACACCAATATTTATTGTATACAACGCCTTGAGCCAGTTGGTGTCATGGTGTGATGAAATCATAGCTCACCTATTGTTTTATATGATGTATTCTATACGTAAGCAAATCCCTCGGGATAAGTCATTTAATGGTGCCAATACCTGGTAATAGTAGAGGAAGCCATCCTTGGCCTTAAAGTAGCGCCGCTTCCAGGCGTTCCAGAAGGTAGCCTTCTTCCTGCCGGACGGCAGCTTTTCTAGCCAGCCCTCGATGTTGATGAAGCCCTGTTGCCCCGGCGACGTGTGGCGACAGGGGCTCGGCACCTCGTACAGCATGTCCACGAGATTTGCCTGCACGGCACCACGAACCAATGGGGAGAGGAACCAAAGCAAAACGATTCCAGATTAGTCATAGGACGTTTTTAGTATCCGCTTCAGGTAAGATTCGTACATTGGTACTCATCAGCAGGACCATTAATAGTGGACAGTGAAGACCTTCACAGATGTTAAGCATATCTAAAGTGAAGCCAACCGAGTATCTCCCAGTGGTTTTCAGTTGCGACAGGTTTACCTCAGTTATCAAATTAGCAAACGTCCTCCGGATTTCCAGTGTACACGACAAAACTCACCGGGTCCCAAGACAGAGTGCTGATCCGTAGTTTGATTTTATCCTCTTCCATATCGCTAAATTTGTCGAAGACAGTTTCCAGCGGAGCAGTGGGGCTGCAACCTTTCCTCGATTTTCGTCCCGAACTTGACAGCACTATACCATCCATCTTGTGTGCCATGACCGTTTCACCGTCTGTGACCTCTCTCTGCCCCGTATGGCCGCCTGGGGCGTCGGCATGTGACCTCCGCGGCGACGCGTTGATCGGGGCAGACTTCCCTCCGGAAGATGGCAGTCCTCCGTTGACGGCTGGCGTTTCTTGGGCCGAGGGCCTTTCAAACTGGGTTTTCAGCGCCTTGACTGACGGAAGAACGCTCCTGACCGGCGCACGGCTCTCTGCTTGCCTTGCCGGCGGCCCTGTTCCGCCGTCCTTGGCTTGAACCGTCTGCGGGAGACGAGACAGAACTAAACCCTTCACGGAGGTCACGCCTACGAGTCAGATGACACTTCTCATATCGTGTAGCCAGTTCCGTTTCAGCTCTCCAGGGCCGGCCAAACATGACGCTGGCCGGCTGAAATTTAGTGATCGGGTAGTCAAATCACAGTAAACATTAGATACGTCACGCATCCAAAAACATGGCGTACCAGTGCTTTGGATATATCCTTATATACAAGTGCTTTTAATAGGAGCGGGGTACGCTGAATTTGTGTGAGTAGTACGTTTTAAAGATCATGACGTGCCCCTTATTAACACCTACCTCCTTGGGCCGTTTGCTTGGCTTGCGCTGCCTCATGGTCTCCGGATAGATTTCAACGCAGCGGTCCTTTTGTATTCTCTCCTCATCGTCGTCCCCTTCCACCATAGTCAGGGAGTCATCTGGAAAGATGCATGGAGGTGATCAGCAAAGCTGAAAAGTGCCAAGTCATGAGCATGCAGGCGAGCTGATGATAGGCTGGCAAGTTGTCATACATGCGGCATTCTCACAGCCCAGCAGAGTGTTCTTCTTTTTACGGGGCAATGCCATCCTCATGAAATGAATTAATAACATTACGCAAGTACTTTATACTAGACGTTAAGATCAGACCTACACCACTTAGTCAGATCACTGCCCCCGTCAACCTACACCGGGGCCAGCACACTACACACTACACACTACACACTACACCTCAGCCACCAGCGCCGACACGGAGCTGACAAGCGTCAAAAGCTCGCCAGCATGTCAGCGCCGGCCACACGCCGGCGTCAGCTCAACGTCACGCGCCGGCTGCGGCGTCGGACGCGGCCACGTCCCGATGGCTGCGGTTTGGCTAAAGAGACCGCATCCGACCGCGTAGACCGCGCTTTCTCACATTTACACGGACCACCTGCTGGCTTCCGAGGCTGCGGCCGTACGTCTGACGCGCGGCGAGTCAGCTTTAAAACGCTGCACGTGCCACGAGGAAGTGAGCCTGTGTCGTCCAGCGGCGGCCCCCATCTCCCGCCCCCCCCCCCCCCTTCCGGACAACAGTGGGCGCGCCTCAGCGGGGAATGCGACACGCGCGTGACTCCTGGTGAGTCGCGTGACGCATCACGCGGCTGACAGAAGCCTCTTGAGCGGTAGCATCTTGTACGCAGTTTTGCATGACGGCATGCACTCAACGACACACATTGAACGCGTGCGTCGATGCATGGTTCAAGCGAATGCAGAATCCTACAGATACACAGCATCAGTGCTTGTAGGACCGCCGCCGGGCCGGTGGAGCCGGCGCGCCACTGACCCGGGCTGGGCTCGCCGTTGGGGAGCGCCACTGACCCGGGCTGGGCTCGCCGCTGGGCGCGCCACTGACCCCCGCCGGGTTCGCCTCGGGGCGCGCCACTGACTCCCGCTGGATTCGCCGCTGGGCGCGCCACTGACCCGGGCTAGGTTCGCCGCTGGGGCGCGCCACTGACCCGGGCTGGGTTCGCCGCTGGGGCGCGCCACTGATCCCCGCCGGGTTCGCCGCTGGGGAGCGCGGCTTACCCCCGCCGGCTTCGCCGCTGGGGCGCGCCACTGACCCCCGCCGGGTTCGTCGCTGGGGAGCGCCACTGACCCGAGCTGGGCTCACCGCTGGGGCGCGCCACTGACCCGGGCTGGGTTCGCCGCTGGGCGCGCCACTGACCCGGGCTGGGTTGGCCGCTGGGAAGCTCGCTGGAGGCGGTGGAGCCGAGGTCGCCGTCTGCTGAGCCGATCCCCTCTGAGCCGTCGAGCGAGGGTGCCGAGCGGGACTCTGCCGCCGCCTCCTCCCCCTCCTCCTCTGAGGTGGTCACGTACTCCTCCTCCGGCTCCTCCAGGATCACCTCCAGACCTGGCCGGAGCACAGGCGGAGTTTGAAGGCACGGACGCACTTACCTGAGACATGTAATGAAGCATCCACACATAATGAAATCCCCATACAAAATTTAACCGAGGTTTTTCTGAGCCTCTATCAGTGCATGGCTTTGCGTTCAACTGATTCTCATGCAGCTTATATCAGCTCCGTGCATCTTGTAACGGTGGTTAGCACGGGCCGGTTCTGAAAAAGTGTGTCATCTTGGGCTTAGGGCAACGTGCGCCCCAAGCGGCCGATCACTGGACAAGTGCCAGAGTTGTTAGACTAGCCTGATCTTTCAATGCAGGAAACGGTCATAGCTAGCTGTATAGCATCCATATGAACACGGTAGACTTATCCATCAAGGTAGCTCACCAAATGTTTCAGGTTCAGAAGCATAAACTACCCAAACCATCGCTGTCCCATCTACACGCATGGAATATCATAGCAGCTGCATAACAGGTGCACCAAGCCACACAGACCCGGGCAGGGTACTCGGGACCGGACGCTCATTAAGCATAGCACACGCCGCGCCTGCACCAGCGCTGCAGCACGAGCTGGATCGGTCACCGGGTCACCTAGCGGGTCCGACACTGCTGGGCTATCGGGGGAACTGTACGTGACGTGTGAGTGTCCCACACAGGCGGAGGCGTCACGGGCCGAACGGCACCTGCGACCAAAAACTGAACGCGAGGCATACGTAATGCTCTCGCGGCATCGTCTTGGTCCGGCCTTAAACTGGTTGCTGGGAACAGGACGTCGATCTGATAGGGCCAGTGTTGTGCGGGACGAAAACGGGCACGTCGCCTTTGGCAGCGGCCAACAAACCGTTTGTGTCCAGATGCAGAGGGGGGGGGGGGGGGGCTCAGCGCCCCACCAGCAGCGGTGCTCGATCAGATGGGCTTCCGGGCCGATCACATGACTAACGGGATGCTGGTGACCACATGACCTGACGGACCCTCACCAATGCGCGACCTAGGAGCCCGCCCTCGGCCGACTGAAAGGTAGAATGTGATGTCTCGAGACAAAATTAGAACACTTTAAAACAGTTTGCATGCATTTTTATGCAAGTTTCTATCAGAAGTCTATGATTGAGAGCGTCAATGCTCTCTACCACGGGTTTATTGTCCCCACTAAAGACGTCCAACAAACCGCCAAAGTTGTCCAAAACGGCATGAATAGCATGGATGGGGATAAAAAGTATAGATGGGGTTGTTATGCATGCCAACATCCGATCACTTTCTCACCCATGCGCCAGTAGCCTGACCCGTCGGAGGGCCCGAGCGGTGCCTCACCCAAGTCGTCGTTGTAGTGGCTGCGGCTATCCGATTCTCCGAGGCCCTCGTCCAGCTGGTCGTCCAGCCGCTCGTCCAGCCGCTCCTCCGAGGTCGGCTCGTCGGCGGGTCCATGTACGTCCTCCGGGTCACGGTCATAGTCTGCCGATGGTGGAGATGACGTGTAACTAGCTGTACGCATCTTTAAGTACTCCATATGCGTGATGATATGGACGGGGCATTCGGCTTTGGGTGCAAACGATTTTTAGGGAAAGACGGCGAAAGAATCGTTGATACCAAAGGGTCGCAAACTTATGAGCATTAAGTAACGGGCAGTCCTGTATGCTTACACTAGCTCATGTCGCAAATTGTGCATCGCTTGGCTGGCATTGCTATTTGGCCCACGTGCTCACAAGGCCATTACATAATCCATGACCAGCTTGATGTGCAAATAGTGCAGGACGAGTGAGTCGAGTAACAACCATGTCTAGAAGGCGGGGAAGGGCAACTTTTTGCGGCCAGACCTGATGCACGGATTAATAGGACGTGAATGAATCAGCGTGCGCAAAGGAGTCGATGAAGAGATTCAAGCTTAAATGTTGCAGCGTTTCGGCTGCCTTAACACGCGCCCGGGTGGCCGACTTGATACCCTTCGCTCGGGTAGGAAGCGGGTGGAGGTCAATTTGACCCCTTGAGAACTCAGGAACTAAGGAAGCTAGATACACCAAATTCGCAGGGTGTGTTGACCTGTACGTGAACTCACTCAGGTCAAAGTTTAAGGTTCCTATGTCCTGAACTTCGGGTCAAATAAGGTCAAACAAGGTCAAATTCCAGGTTGGTCTCCGAAGTGCCCGTAGAACCTAGACAGCTGTTTCTAAGCACAATGTCACAAGCTCGTTTAAGGTCAGTGACCTTGTTTGACCTTTTGAAGATCATGTGACAAAAATCATATCAGGCTGCTCTGAGTTTTGCATTTGAATAAGCGACAAATATTACGTTCGGCAGTATGCTCCTAAAAACAAAATGTCGACCCTGGCCATCTTAGGTCAATGACCTATTCTGACCTTTGAGAAGTCCATGGAAAATGCATAAGATGGTTCCTGCTACCAATAAATTCGAAATGAGCACCAGAAACTTTCCCATACAGCAAGCCCTAGAGTAATAATGCAGGCTGGTTTTGACCTTGGTCTGACCTTCATACCTAAGCTTAGGTGAACTTAATTTGCTCATTCAATATTTGCGCTGCTTACGAAAGCGTCTCAGAGATGAATGGCTCCGTCTAACACTCAGTTGTTGCATCAGATTGAACGATGAAATTGCAACAGAATTTCCCTAGAAGTTGCCTTCGCTAAAACCATGGCCTGTCTTTGACCTGCCGTAGGTCAGCGACGTTGAAAGTTAAATCTAATTTTGATACCAAACGATTTGCGATTTAATTGTCTACAGCTTTGCAAAATTTGTCACGGCTACGCCGCGCCGCTTGGAAACCATTCTGGAAAAACCTTCGGGGGGGGGGGGAGGGGGTCAATTTGACCCCACCCAAGCGCATGCTAAATTCATTGTGTACGGTCAAACAGCTATCAGCGATTACGTCTCGTGATAGGTGCTCTGGCTTAAGATCGTGGGCCATTACTGACTAGGAGTGTCATAACAGTACATCATGAATCACGCATCTAGTCAAACTGTCCAGTTAGTGTATAAAACTGCTTGGCTTAGAGTAATCAAGTTTCCGGCATTCATAGCTCCAGAACGGAGATAAAATTGCAGTTCATGAAAGCAATCACAGTTACACTCTCCATCACGATTTCCACACAACACATAATCTTTCCATTTCAAAGGCCTTTTCCAACACACAATGCACATGCATAGAAGAGCAGCTCCTGCTTTTTTGGCTTCGGCTCGAGGACCCTCAGCGCTGTGATATAAAGCACTGACGCATCAGTGGTGGGCGATAGGGATACCGGGCCTAGTCCTGCATGCGGCCCGTCCTCAAAGTACGATAGTGGTATCGGCCCCAGGCTTGCATGCGGCCCGTGCTCAAAGTGCGATCCTGCATGAATGCTGCAGCGTAGAGAGTGATCTGTTATGGAAAACAAAGACACCTTATGAATCCAAAGACGCCTGCATTTCGTGCAAATTAAGATAAGCATGACCTTTGATCGGTCTTTTTCTTGACATCAAAATAAGTTAAAGACGTGGAACAAGTTCTATCTTTTTCTAATCGACCCATTGCACAAAGGTGTCAGTGCCTGTTAACTGCTCCATATTACCACACGCTGTCTTAATAGGTCGTGGCTTGTTTCGCAAGGCACCGTGGCATACCACCTCGTACGTGTCGGACACAGAGCAAAGGCCATACCCAATGACCACACATTACTCCTGGTGCCAACATGTCCGCACAGAACACCGACTTTACGGCGCACGCCGTGGGCCGCTGGCCAGCCGGGCGCTTCATGTCGCCCGCCTGCGGCGCTGCCGCCGGGTGGCGGCGGCCACTGCGCTCTGGCCTCATCTCCGCCGAGCTGGTCTCCTGCACCAGTTCTGCGACCAACAGTGAGGGCGGCACGGCCAGCGGGCGCCCGCGCGCCGCTAATTGGTTGTAACGGTGTTCGCTGTGTGCGCGAGCGGCCCTGGTCTCGAAAACTCAGATTATCCGCAGAGGCGGAATTGGTCAGGAAAGAGCGCTGAACGATACATGGAGGGTGGGAGAGAAAGGCCGGAAAGCCTCGGAGAAAAGGGGAAGAAATGTGCACCTGAGGGGGAGGGGAGGTAATAACTGCCACATCATGGTGCCGTTGGAACCAGAGGTCCAGGGTTCGATTCCCCGCGGTGCCCGCCTTTCGTACCAGGGTGAGAGGCAGGCGACCCCATACAGCCTCAGCAGCTGAGTGCGTCGCGAAGACCCAATGACGACCAATGGCCATGCCACCGCTGTAGGATAGCACGAATACGAGGGAGGTCTTGAGACGCTGCTTAAATGCGAAGGCAAATTCAGTATTCACAGGTTCGAACCAAGTGTTTCAGCTGGGCAAAGTCAGAAGCATACGTCTCTTCACACCACGACACGCTACTTCATATGTCATCTCATCTCTCTATGACTTTTCTGACTGACTTTTGCCTTATGCCTTTGTAATTATGTATGTAATTTGTATGTAATTACAGTGTAATTCATCTTTATGACTTATCTTTTCATTCAACTTTTTATGAGAAGTTCGGTACTACGGCAAATATTTTGCATGACGCATGCGAGATGTGCTGTTAATATCCACGATACACATTTCATCATGCTACCATTTGATACTTTAGGGAACAGGGACCAAATTTTAGAATGTGTCCACGCATCGAGACCTCGTCGAGGGTAATGAGCAAAAGCATGATCCATCGACAAATGATGACGTCAGAGCTTTCTCATTTAGGACATAATATCGGTAGTTTTCCATCAAGCATAGTTTAAAAAATAGTGCAACTCCTCAGCAGGTAAGTGCACTTCACGGACCAAAGTGTAGTGCCTAACGCAGGGTTAAATCAAAAACATGCGAGTGCGGCCCGTTTGGAAGTCGCCATTTCCACAGCCACCGCTTCACCCCAGCTTACCTGG